ATAGTATATATATATATATATATATATATATATATATATATATAGATTCTAATATGTTGTCTATTTGTTGTATTTCAGGAGAAAGAAGAAATTAGAATTGATAAGAAGAATTAAATGAATGGAAATTAACAAGAGAACACGTTCAGTTAGTTCATGCTTTTGGGTTGGGTCCGTTGGCTATCATTCGGCCAGGCCGAATTGATCATCCTTTGGTCGCAGCTAATATAGAGAGGTGGCGTTCTGAGACCAACACCTTTCATTTCAACATTCATATTAGTGAGATGACACCAGCACTTTTTGACGTATACGAGATATTAGGACTGGCTGTGGATGGCGACCCAGTCACATGTCGTCCTATCAAGGACCTGCGAAAGTTTATAAAAGATAACTTGGGTATAGTCCCTGATGGCAACTTGGCAAGCCTGAGGCATACATGGCTGAAGGCGAATTTTAGGGAATTGTCACCTGATGCAACCTCAATTCAAGTTTATAGATATACTCGAGCATATCTGCTCTTCCTCATCAGTGTAACTATATTTGCTAATGCATCAGTTTCAACAGTGTCACCAAGGTACCTACAATTTTTTGAAGATATTGAGGGCGCCAGCACATATGCTTGGGGTGCTGCAACCCTTGCATTCCTCTATCGCGCACTTGGAAAAGCTTGCACTTTCAAGCGAAGACCTTTTAGTGGTTCAACCACTCTCATGCAGGTAGCCATTTGTTTTGGTATATGACATAAGCGTAATAGTTTAGATTGTTTTCTTAATATATTTAATATTTATCTGAATATATTTAATATTTATCTTATTCAATTTATTGCAGTGCTGGTCATATGAGCATATTATGCATATGAGGCCCATACCGCATAGTATCCCTCCAAATATGCCTAGGGGCAAAAGATGGGAGCCTCCGAAGAAATATCATGGCAATCCACATAACTTAATGCCTTCCATCAGACAAGAAATTGATAACCTCCAACCTAATGAGGTTAGTATATAATTTGATATTGATTTTTTCAATAGTTTTTAAGTATTTGTAATTATTTTTATTGACTGATTGCATATCATATAACAGGTAATCTGGAATCCCTATTTCAACCCTGATGAGGTCATTTCAGATGATAGGCAACAAGCATTTCAAACTGTAATGTGCCCTACAACATTGATATTTGACGATATTGCTGAGCACTACATGTCAGACCGAGTATGCTGGCAATTTGGAGTAAAATATGGCATTCCTAGGAATCCCTTGGTTGTTAGTAAGAGGCAAAGCATACAATTTGGACAGCGAGACTGGCGAAACGTCAATGCAGATAAAATCGCTAACTGGTTGTCTCGCCATGACCGCATCATGCCTGATATTCAACAAGATACTGACAATGGGTTGCACTCATAGGAGTACAAGGCCTGGTACAACTTGGTGTCCCATCCTTTGATACATAATGTTGCTAACCGACCCAAAGACATATTGCAACCTCATATCCATGAAGAATAAAAAGCGGTTCATGCTCATGAACCACAATATATAATATGACCTCGAGGTTATGAGGACCAGTTGGTACGTTTATATTGACCTATAAATTCTTATAGTATTTTCTTTACCTATTAGTTCTATTTAATTGTTTAAATATGCTAATTATGTAATCTTGTTGTGCATGTTAGTGCAGTTAAGACATCTACAATCATGTTAGGCAGAGGCACTTACACTTAGACAGAAGTGGTACCCGAAAGTTCTTAATCTCGTTAACAACGATTTTAAAATGTTGTCTAAGTTTGTGCCTGTGGATATGGGTGACGTAAAAGCCATGATGAAGCATTTACAATATTAATATTATGATGAAGCTGTATTGGATGAGGCTGGAGATGATGGAGTGGGTCAAAGTAGTCAAGCTGTAGAAGACCTAGCTCCCTCCACAAAACCTGCAGTTGAGGAACCTAGAAGATATAATACACGAAATAAATGGTATCAGCCTAAGAGAAGGCGAGGCGTGTAATGAGTCATTTTGAGGATCCCAATTTGTATTGGTCATTTTGTAATGTATTGGTCATTTTGACATACCCAGCTCTAGGCTCTCTTTATTATATTATAAGATGATGTTTTTAGATGGTTGTGTTTGACATGAGTCTCAAATTAATCCACCTTAAGTATATAGAGCTAGCATATTTTTAATGAAAAGTCATAGTATTTGTATTATTACTACTCACTAAATATATTACAGAATCTTCAGTATCACTCTTGATATCAATGTGTGCTATTGTGCTTATGTGCCAATATCAGTAATCCTTTCTTTCTCTTCATTTTGGTTGCTACATGGGCCATCTTGAGAAGACTTGGAGTCTTGGTGAAATTTGATTGTTAGTGGTTGCATATGTGTATTGGGTTTAACATCATATCATTGTCTAGAGTTATCCAGTATACATTTGATATAAGATTAATGAGATTTATTAATTTAACATTATTTACATTACTTCTTGTGATTGATGGTGGTGAAAATGACAGCTACTGTGCATCCAAAATCATATAATCACTGATGGAAACAATATGGAATCAAAGAAACAACATGCAATGAATGTTGGTTCAATCACCATGAATGTTAGTGCAATGAGTTTCCGGATGTTGAACATCAAAAAATATCATATTTTCTGATGTTGAACATCCAAAAACTCATTGTGAATATCCAGAAAACTTATAGTGAGTTTTCGGATGTTCAACATCCGAAAATATGATATTTTTCGGATCTTCAACATCCAAAAATATTACTTTTTCAAATGTTGAATATCTGAAAACTCACTGTGAATATCCAGCAAGCTCCTGGATCATAGTGAGTTTTCGAATGTTCAACATCCTCAAATATGATATTTTCAGATGTTCAACATTCCAAAATATTAATTTTTCGGATGTTGAACATCCGAAAACTCACTATGAAAATCTTGGATATTCATAGTGAGATTTCGGTAATATGATAATTTCGGATGTTCAACATCCGAAAATATTACCTTTTTGGATGTTCGAAAACTCATTGTGAAAATCCAAGAGCTTCCTAGATTTTGACAGTACCATTTTTGGATGTCAAACATCCGAAATTGTTTAGACATCACATTGATCATGAACATCAAGATGCATTGACATAATAAAAAAATGGACATCATTTTTAGATGCATGGACATGAGAATAACTCATTTATGGATGTATGGATATGAATTTCATTTTCTTATTTTAAGGCTATCACAAAGATTTCCAATATTGAAATCATCTATCTCGATACAAAGATTGACAAACTCATCTATTAGAAGATTTATGACGACAAAGAATTTTGATTGCACTGACACAATTTTGACAACAAAAACACCATATTCACTCAATTCATTAATTCATGAAAATCATAATTCCATATAAGAATACAATATTAACATGAAGTTCACTCTATCGGTTCTTTGTATGTCCTCCTATTATGTCCATTTGCCCCGCATAGTTTACACTTCAAAGGCTTGGTGATCGGATGTTCCGTCTTGGATATTCTTCATTGCTTTTTTGGCCTACTAGGAAGGCGTGTAGTCCTTGGTGGCAACACTGTCCGGTTGTAAATACCTGTCAACTTAATATCATCCAAGATAGGTGCAAAGGGAGTTTCAAATGCCCTTTTAAAGTATTCCACAGTAAAGTACTTAAGGCAGTACACAGTGGGATCCATATGCATATGGTTAATGGCCGCAATAGCATGGGCACACGGACTGCCACTGAGTTGCCATTTTCTACAACTGCATGTCCACTGCATTAAATCGACAACGTACTTCTTCCCAAGATAGTGGATCTCAAAAAGCATGTCCATGACGGATATAACTTTGTGCAAAAATCGAGCCTTCATCTTTCGCGTGTCAAGTAATTTTTGGGCCTTTGGTACTAGCATGCTGCTCCAAGTATTACCTAATTCCCTCTTCTCTTCAAACCTGGTCCTCAATTGTATCATTATTTCTTCACACATTGTAATAATCAGTTTCTTTTGAGCCGATAAAATCCAAGCATTGAAAGACTCGACCATATTTGAGGTAAGATGATTGTATATAGACCTTGAAAAATAGGCATCTGCCCAAAATTTGGGTGGAATATTGTTAATCCAATCATATGCTTCTAGGTCGGCATACTGTATATTAAACATCATTTTCTCAAACCCACCAATGGTCGCTTTACGAGCAGCCTTCCAAAACACCATCAGCAATATTTCAGTATTTGCTGACATCTTCATAAAGCCCTTGAAGTTCTCTCCCATATGTCGCATGAAAAATGATAGAAAATATGTTGGAAAGCATTTTTATATTGCTTATGACAGCTTTTCTGTCGATCTGATATAATGGTTAAGGTAGGCAGATTAGGGTTTCCATTTAAGAGGTCACTCAATATACTTAAGAACCAATACGAACTCTGGTACCTTCTCAACCACTGCAAATGCCAATGGGAAGAGCCCATTATTTGCATTTAATGTGATGACGCACAATAAAATGCCTTGATACTTTCCTTTTAGGAATGTTCCATCAATACCAATTAATGGTTTGTATCCATTGACAAACCTCATAATGCATGGACGATAGACAATAAATAGTCGTTTGAACCTGCCTTCATCAGTGTGGATGCGAACTTAAGTTCCCGGGTTGGTTCTTCTAATCTTCTCAATATACAGGGGGGAGGTCGAGGTATTGTTGTTTATGTGATCCATCTATCATCTCTCTAGCAGTCTCTTTTCCCTGCCAAGCTTGCATGTAGGACAGCCTGACCCAGTGATCACGTTGATCATCCTTTACAATATCTTTTGCTTTAATTTTTGGTTGGTCAAGAAGGCGGCCTTTAATCTTTTTTGCCACCCAATCACTACGAGCTACTGGCTGATGAACCCTCCCCATTGGACCGCTACATGTGTGCTCCTTAACCATAGATTTCACTTTAAAGTATGCGGTGCTGCCAACTCGTAAGCATTGCACTTGTCATGTGCATCCATCTGCCTTACAACTTGCCCACATCCGTCCTAATTCACTTTTGTCAAACTTCAAAACAAAATTATTGTGGATTGCCAAATCAACTAGATGATGCTAACATTCATTAACATTTTCAAAAAATTGCCCAACATTCAATTGAACCTCATTACTAACTCCTCTACATGGACTCTCTAATGGTTCAATGTTCTCCATATCACGCTCTGGTATGAGCTCAGGGTTGGGCACCACTCCAATGTTTTGATCTTGCTCAGGTAAAGTGTTACACCGACTGTTGACAAACGATAGAATGTAAGATGAAGCAACAATTTCTACACATATAAGATTAAAATAAAGCAATTTATAGATGAAAAAATAAATTGTAGATACACTTATTCCTTGAAGATGGGCCCTCAGCAACAAATTCTTGTCGTGCCTCGGCAATATATACTATAATTCTCGAAGATTCCCCTCCCAACATAAAAGATATATCTATATCGTCACTAACATCAATCAAATCAAGCCCACTAAATAGACTTGTGTTGTGGTACATAATAGCTAATTTGCTTGGATCACACTTCGTTAAATTTGCAAAATGATTTTTTAGTTCCTCGAAGGAACTATTCCCATTATACTTGGTGACCTTCAATTTTCATCTTTTATAAATAACACCTCCATCATCTGCATTCGTCTCAAATGACCCCCCATATCGGAAGACCAGTTGTACTCCCTCAGTAGCCATCGTCAATACTACTGTATTAAATGAATAACAAAGTTAGTGTTATAAAAAATCAGTACAAAAAAATTACAAAAAATTGGTATATTTCTAACTACTTTAGGGTAAAATATGAGTATTGCATAATAGATTGAAATAGTGTACTACTAAAATTGTCAGTAGCGATCATCAATACTCATGTATTAAATGAATAGCAAAATTAGTGTTACAAAAAAATTACCAAAAAATTAGGATATTTCTAACTGCTTTAGGGTTCATAAAATCTGAGTATTACATAATATATTGAAATAGTGTACTACTAAAATTGTGAGTAATACTCATATAAACACAAAATAAACAACAAATTTTATTACAAACAAACAAGTTTAATAATTTTTTGGCCAAAACAAAGAATACAATGTATCAACTTGATACAAACAACAAGTAATTATATAAAAAAACAACTTCATCAATATTAAACAAATTCTATTTATTAATTTCAAATACGCAACAAATGTTATTAACAAAATTAAATATCTAAATAATAAGAGATAAATAAACTTTAATTAATCAACTGTATAAAGAAAGAGTAAGAACGGTACCAATCACGTCCAAATAGTGAGTCAACATCTTCAAATTTGTGGGTTACTGTATAAGGGACAGTAAAGGGGGTACGTTCCTTCAATGATCGGTTTTTCCCAACTTTATAAAAACAA